TTGGGAGAAAGCCATCGGTTATGTTTTTCTGGGGAGCAATTTTCTGAGCGAAATTCGTGCTGAATCTAAAAATTATGGAAGTCAAAAATAATTTCCGAAAAACATTGCAAGGATTATTGAAAAGTGCCTTGGATTGCTATTAAAGTTGACCCTTTCTTATCCGCAAGAAGGAATTTTCCCGACAAATTGCATTCAATCGCAGCAATAAATAGGGACTAATGATAACAACTCAAATGTTAGCCCGGTCATATTTTACGTAAGATGTTTTAATTTTGACGATATCATCCCTTTCTCTCCCATCATCTTCTTCCGAAGGCACTCAGTGTTGCTGGGCTTCAGCTCCACAGTGTGGAAAGTGTGGAAAGAATGGGAGAGTGAATGAGAAATAATCCGACTCCTATCATCAAAGTGTGTCTCTTCCTGGATTGTCTATGTACTGACAGGATGCTCGAAAGTATCTGAAACTGGACCTATCCCCAAGCAATCTGAACATACAATGAATCACTGAGATAATCTTTAAGGGAGGAAAATAGGGGAAAATGAATGACAATTATGAACGCAAGTAAAAATTTCACTGTGAAAGCTACTGTGAAGGAAGCACAAAGAGACGTGTACTATCTTTGGGAATAGACCCAACTTTCAAAAGCGTAGTTTTTTTTTTATTCGCCAGGAAGTTTGTGCTAGTTCTTGATTAGAGCTAGTATTCTTTTTAAAACAGGCTTGTTGTTGCAATTATAAATGTCATGGCCCAATTTTAACATTTTGTTTCAAAACAAATCCTATCTGATAATACTACTTGGGTATATAATAATATTTGCAATTGACATACATTGGCGCCTTATCATTTCATAATGCGTCAACAAGCGCTTCACACAATGAGTTTGAAGTGTAATGATAATTGTTATGCAGGCAACCGAGCAGCTAATCTGACCAGCAAAAGCGATGATAAGCAAAATAACAAATTTTACCATCTTTGAATAGGTGCCTAACTGAGTATGGATTATCGAGGTTATAAACATCCTATTAACATGCTTCTACTAACCAGAAAAATCACTTCCTACTCCTACCCTCCAACCCCCCGATCCCAACAACCAGCTCATACTGACTGTCCAGTGCCTTGGGGCACCCTCCTGTCGTGAAAGGTGCTGTACAAGTGTAATTTATTGTTGTTGTTGTTATCATCCCAGTAATACCTCAGCATGAAACTCTCTGTCTTCTGCTTGAAGAGTCTCAAGGTGATTACATAAAACAGAACACTGATTGATTGGCTGCATGGGTTATGGATGCTATGTTATTTGTTTCAATTCTAGGAGTATTGTGCAATTTTGGGTCCCTAACGTCTCGGCTTCTGCCAATGTACAACTGTATTCTCCAGACATAGGCAAGCAAGGTCTGATGAACCCCACCCCACACTTCACCCGGTGGGAGGTATTGAACACAGTTGAACATGGATAAAGAAAAAGTCTCTGCTTCTATAAGCTCCTAGTAGCTGAGACAGGAGACTCTTGAATGAGGCAAGGGGGCGTTCTGCGTGCGTTAGACTGTAGGCTGACAAAAACAACTCACTAAATAAACCTCAGTGCTTAAGGTATACTAAAAGTGATACTTATTGACCTTTAGGTTCAATAGCAGATGAAAGGCTCTTAAAGAATATCAAAGCACTGGTGACTCAAGCATTAAAGGTGATCCGAAAAATAAACACGAAAAAACTTTCATTCTATGTCATTGTTGTAAAGGCTATTATTCACCATCTGTGTCACACAAAGGCAAGTTTGGGTCTTGTTAGTTTTGCAAACATTTGCACAGCGATCCTCTATTTTCTTCCCCGTGGATTGGCGAGAAAGGAAAGCTGAAACACGTCAGCGTCTTTTTTTAAAATCTTAAAAAGCTTTCATCTACAAAACCGTGCAGCACACTCTCCGGGACGAAAGTAAGGAGCAGGTAACAAAAGACATTACAAAAATAACCTGAACAAATACGTGCCACAGGGCATTTTGTGGCGCTAGCTGGTGCCTTTTCATCAGGATGAACTGGATGGCAATTGACAGGAAATGGTTCAGGATATCGTGGCCCTTCTCTCTGGGTCACTTGATCTGCACCTTTGAAATTCCAACACAAAATCCATTTGCGTGCTTTTTAAGTCATGTTTGGCATTTTCGTGAACTCTTTTGTACGGCTGCCATTAAGTGTAAGATAAACACATCATTCCACTCACCAAAGCCTCCAGGTCGCAACATCTCTCACTCAGGTAGACATTTTTGAAATTACCTTTTTGTCTAATGTATCAGTTGTCACCCTTCGTCGCTGCTTTTAACAGTTTTTTTTNCTGAATGGACTTACCAAAAAAAAATTCCTTGAAACCTGAAAAACACTTAGCCTGACCTCAAATAATAACAATAATAATAATAATCCTTACAATTGAGGATTTCACATCTCAAAGACCGTCACAAGATTTACTGTAAAGTGTAGAGACTGGGTATTTGGCATCCAAAATAAGACAAAATATGTTGGCGAGTTTACATTATTTTCATTTGTCCAATGTCTAATGGATGCTGACCGCCACCAAATAATGAAACAAGGTTCAAAACCAGAAACAATGAGTGAAAATTGAGCGTTTTACCAAAATAAAAAATGTCTGATTTTCTTATGTGTCTTGTTTTACTTCTTAAAACAGCTAATTTCCATTTGTATATCAGGTAGCATTGCAGCAGTGCGCAGCGAGCAACATTAAAACAAAGACAGCTGTTTTGTGAATTTGACCCTGAACAGCACACACCAGATCTGGGAAAGATTGTGCAGGGACTTGGTGGGCAGAGCACAGCTTTCCAGTGCCTGAGGCAAGTTTCAACAACCGTCCCTCAACAAGTGATGGTTAACTCTGCATTTTAGCTTCCGCTCACAGGAACAGAGAGTTCTTAACGCAGACATTGGAAGTGGAAATGCAACCCTTCATAACAGGAAAGGGCAAACAACTCCTGACGCTGACAGGGAGGGAGGGAGCATTCAGACCGAGCTGGGGGTCAGACTTAGATCACATCGAAGTGCAGTTCCCGCAAGTCAACATGATGCCCTGCCGGGTAGTGGCAGTATTTGCTATTCGTCATATCCGGTTCCAAATACAGTTCTGACGAAAGGTCATCGACCTGAAACATTAACTCACTTTCCTCTCTCTCCATAGATGCTGCCTGACCTGCTGAGTGTTCACTGCACCTTGCTTTTATGTCACATTTCCAGCATCTGCAGTATTTTACCTTTTCCAAATACAGTATTGCATTTTAAATTCCGTTACCTGGGCCAGAATTCAACAGGCAGGGGAACGCATAATAATAATAATCCTTGTATTTGATATAACACTTTTCACGTCTCAAAGCGCTCTTGTGTGAAGCTTAAGACATGCATTACATGTGGGATGTAAACAATTGTTACAGAATGTCTAAACAGGGGGATCGAAGTACGAGCAACTACGTGGTGATTCTCTTATAATCTGATGAACGTACAACCTGGCAAGCTTTCTAATTGCACAGAGGGTACATGCATCGGGCAGAGAGCAACTGACCCTTATCAAAAGATGAACTGGTTTGCGGCTTTGGGCATACCGTGCTATGATGCAGCGTTAGAGGATTATAACATTCCATAATCCTTAATCAACGCTGGAAACCCAGACAAAGGTTTGCCTTCAGTAAGGGTGTGCAACAAGTGACACATTGACTGGCACTTCCTCAGTCTTTCATTTCAATCACCCTCCCCATTTCCACCAGCTCAGCAATTTCTTGATCCTAGGTGATATTCCTAGAAAAANTTCAGTGGGCGAACTCTGTTGATTAGTGCTCTTCAGGACCTGGTGTCGAGACTGCCCCAAAACCCAGCTCATACATACAATACTTCTGGTTTCTCATTGACAGCTCCATACTGATCAGACAGGAGAGCTATCACCCACTGCACCCCAATCAATCCCCTTCTCCCTCCCGCACCACATCCCTTATACATCGATTCAAACACCAATGGAAGAAACAGGCAACCCGCAGAGATAGGTTTTCAAAATATTTTTTATTTCTAGTTTATTTTTGTTGAAAATTTGTCTAGTACAGGTCTGTTTGTGAAAATGTGCATTTCAGACCATGAACAGTGACATTATGTAAAATATAAAAGTACAAATTTTTTTNGAGCTGAATGCTTTTATATAGATTGTAACCATCTGAAAATACGTGAAACATTGATTTTTAAAAAAAAAAACAGACATATTTGTCGGTACGTGAAACCTCTATTCAGCCTTTGGCCTTTCAGTACAGATTATCTTCTTTAATATAAAAATACAGTACACCGCCTTTCGGTACACAACCTTGCACAACCAACGTCCATTGTCTCTGCAGTATTGTGGTTATAAATGGAAGGTTCAGAAGAACAGAGATGCCACATGCAGAAATGACACTGAGGTAAGCAGTAACATGTTCCTGAAATTCAGACAATATACATCAAATCCTCTGGGATCCTGGATTCTTGTCATTACAAGATCCCTTTGGACAAGTGTACAAAGCATTTCAGTTTTCAGTAAAACAGTTCTATGAGGCAATGTATGAAATAAAAACCCGGTGTAAAAAGACTGGTTATTAAACTGTAGTTTGAGGTAATGTGAATAGGAACCTTTTTTTTTGGAATAGAGCAGTAATCACATTAAGTAGAACTGATCACATTAAAACAAAATAAAACGAAATCTACAAAAAAACCGATGTCAATAATATAATTTTCTATGAGAAAATTAAACCTATAACGTGGCAGTATATGGCATTGTAATAACAAAACAAAACAAAAAAAAAACCGATCCACAAAATAGCAGCAAAACACAATGACAAAAGAAAAAAAAGAGAAAAAAAAAAAGCAATGTTAATTTTCAAACCAAGCTGGGAACATTTCCATAGCAGCTCAAAGGAGTGTCCACTCCGTTTCTTACAATCAACACCTTAACGGCAGTATCACACAAAAAGCTCTCCCATCACATTCTCCTCACACCGCAACTTCAACTGAGTTTAGTTTCTCCTCCTCCTCCCCCCACCCCCCCACGACTACTTTCTAGCATCAGTACATACCAAGATGTGCAAATTTTCTACCAATACCTAAAAGCTGGGGGAAAACGTAGGAACGAACATAACTGTTTTCAAGTAGACCATTTCTACTAGAATTGTAACTATGGTGTTTTGTGTTTCTGGACACGAAGGGAACATTTTAAATGTATAAATGGAGCCTGAAGTAAGGATAAGTAAAAGGATTCCAATCCTACAGGCCTTTCTCGCTCTCTCTATAGGGGGCATGATATAGCAGCAGCTTTTCCAGGTTTTCCGCCTCATTCCACCCATCTGAAAGGAGCCCTACTTTTACTCTAAGCACTATTATTACCTGGTGTTAGCATCAGGGTCCAAAATGAGCAATTGAGCGTGGCTGGAGTCGGGGACAATGCAAAATTGTTTCGAACCACGTTAACTCTCAAAGATCACTGAGTTGCAACACAGAGTAAAAACACAGAAACGTACGTAATGTAAATTTTTTTAAAAATCTGCCACAAATGCCACTTTGATCGGAGGCAGGGATATAAGATTTTGGCCCAAAGACTATTTCACTTGTCGACGCGAGGCAGATGTCATATCACATCCTGTCATCTGAGAACTATAGCGTTACATCCTCAACACCTGTGAGGCCATAAAAGCAAGTCTTGTTTCAAACATTAAACTCAATTAATCTCTCCCAACTGGTTGACGGCTTAAGACTAGTCATTGACAGGTTACACCTCATGTATTGTCATCACCACAACACACCACCTGGGCAGGATTGCTCCTGGCTCCCAGTCAGGTAAAGAAACTTTTTTTTATATATACCAAAACCAACTAGAAAACTAAAGCCACCAGCAGTGAAAGCTCAGACCTCAACCTCTCAGTTACCCCTAACCTGAGGATCTTCATTTACTCTTCTAAAGACACCATACGTCACAGGAGTACTTTAAAAATGTATTTACTGCATGAAAAACACAGACATTTCCCATAAGGACTAAAACTCCTATATCTGCAACACAGACACTTTAACCTTGAACTCTGTGATGTGTCTCTACCAGAAGATTCTTTTTTTTTTCTACTTCAGTCTTACAATAAATAGTTCTACATTACCTTATAAATAAATTACATGATGAAGAATTTTCTTTTAGTTGTGGATAATTAAGCAAATAGGTTCTGTAGCAAATAGGTTCTAGTTACATTCTACGTTTCGCTAAACACCTGAAAAATAAATCTATGTAGGCCCCATTTATAAATTAGTTGGCACATGAAAAAGATTTCTAAACACTGTTCTTTCGCTAAACAGGTCAGTGATGCCAGCAGTTTTGGAATATAATTACCACTTACTGGAATGTCATGATCCAGGTTCCATTTCCCTCTCAAACACCATAGTCAACTCACTTGCTTTGCTACATCCGTGTGCAGGCAAGCAATAGTATTTTCTAAACCATTCCATTTAAATTCGTTTTTTTTTTTAAAAAAATTCCTCCAAAGAAAAACAAACAAACAAGGATTTTTAAATCTACTGACTGAAAGTGCTTCGAAATGGAATGGTTTCAGAAAAGAAAGGTAAGGCTAAGGATTAAACCCGACATTGGCAAGCCCGCATTGGGTTGACTCCAGCCAGCATTGTGTATTTACATAGTCTCCTCTGTCAAAAATAAAAAATTTAATAAAATGAAGGCTTAAAAACGTATTATACCATTAGTAACTGTGTGTATAATTAGGTACTTAGCCACGAGTAGTAAAAAGGGCAGTTACAAGTTATATTAAGCTGGCACCCACAAGCCTTCAGCACAGGTAATCCACAGTCTCCAAAGATTAACATATAATAATGCTGAGTACTAAAATACACTAATGGGTTACATCAACCATTTATAAGGTGAAGAGGATCAGCACTAAGGAATCATATAAACATCTGGACAAACTGATTATAAAGTGACTAGACACGTATGCAAGCAGGTATAGAAAAGCCTAGATTGCAGTAAAAGCTACGCACTTTTTTTTTCTTTTTTTCTCTCTTTTTGTAGAAAAAAAAGATTAAAATTGTTACTACCTAAAACCCTCTTCTACATTAAAAATGGTTCATTCACACTCAAAAATCAATTCTAATACCTCCCCTAATGACATTTTGTTGTTGTCACCTATTATTATAAACTTAGAAGCATAAACACTTGATTTTTTTTGTATATAAAACACACTATTTCATTAATGATACATATAATCTGCACAATTTTTTGTGGCATAACACACGCCGTGTTATGTTATCCAAATGCCTTCTTTTTTTGTTTTTATTTAACCTCAGTTTCAGACCATTTCATATTAAAAATGAATGGTAAAGGGCAACAGAGCACTGAAAAGCAAAGAGAAGAACTTCCCCTTCTTTTACAATGTCCTGGCGATGTTAATGGGGAGGTCATGATGTTTTTAGCGAGCATTTCCTTGCAAGTTGCCATGACCACTGTTAGAAATCATAGGTTCACATCTCGCACATCCGTTGGTGTACAGGACAGATCCAGTTCATCCTCAACAGTCTTTGTTTCCGAGGGTATACTGTTGTGTTGAACCTGGCGTAGGCTGGTCTCAAGCAGTGATTCGATTTGTTCTTGGCAAGCCCGTAAACAATCCTATACAAAGACAAAAGGTGAGGTGGGGTCGGTTAGTATGGACATTCTGCCAAACAAGTACAAATTAATTCAAACTTTTTTTTTTAATTGATTGCTTTGACAGAAGAATGCTAAGACCTTGTGGGGCAGAGAGTATCATGTTATTACAGGACCTGTGCAGGACGCCACAAAAAGACGAATGAATGTGCTTTGCAGTCTATAATAAAACAGGTATACGTGGTATGTCACTCAAATCTATTGTTTGATGAGAAGCCTCGGTAACGATCACAGTTTCTCTAGCGTCTAACAGGGAGACGGGCCACTGCTCTCCACCAGACCTCAGTAGCAGGAAGCTTCCAAATAAGAGCGCGAAAGGCAAGAATGTGCATTAGGTGAAAGATTCCAGCATTGCTAAGTCTGCCTCTATCCCACAGCCAAATGAAAGAGTGGAACCCATTGTGACTCTGAAAATGAAAGGTCTGGGATTCCAAACAAAAACAAAGTAACAATCATGGAATTGCTCAATCCAAGTCTTTTATCAATCCAGCTCCTTTAACTTCTTTCAAGTGCGCATTTTGATATGTCCTTTCCCTGCCATTTGCTCTGACCTCTGGAATGGCAAGCTTTGCTCTGAGTCCACTCTTCCATGATGAATTAGTGTTAGGATGTGCATGACTGCGAACGAATGACATTTCTCAAAGAGGGCGACCAGCCTTCTGCTCCCTTTTGCCTGAGTCTCAGTTACTCAATTTACTTGACTTCTGGTAACGTGCTTCATGTGTGATCCGCTCTCCTTTATCCCCTATTACCACAACATTGCATACTTTTGCCTACAGACAAAACAGTCGCTGAACATGAAGACCATCGAAACATTGACATCGTAGGCACTATAAAAATACAAATACTTTCTTTCCGACTTGGGTATTCACTGACCAGTTTATGTTTTACTTTTTTGATATTAAAAACACCCAATGTCAGGTATGAACTGCAAGTAGCGCAAATCCAATTATTAGAAATCATTGAAAATCAGGAACCCTCGACCTTACAAGTTTCTTTATTATTATAATCTTGGTTTGATACAACCCATGGAGAGACCAAAGCCGCAAAGTATCACCTCGGGCCTTATATATCTGCTGTATTTGAGAGTCACATTGTAGGCAATATTAATCCGATTAGTATCAGAAGAGTTAAGAAGATGCTCAGATATTCCAATGTATCTTGTTTGGCGTTACCACTGCACGTTCATTATCGATCACAATGGGGCAACTGCTGTAGTAATTGGTGAAACTTATTAAATGGGATTGAACCATTCAGTAACATTGGGCATCCTTGTCGATTTAAGACTCTCACTTTCATTGGCCCTGGATCATAATCTTGAATACATGACATAATGGGATTGTCCTGTTCTTTTTTTTTCGTCAGCTAGCCAGGCAGTCTGTGTACTCCTGAGAGACAGAGATTTATAATAACTAGTCTTAACAAATTGCTAGGTGGCTTCTGACAATCCAATGGGCAACTTTGCTGCATCTCAAGAGACTTGCCCAGAACCTACGCTCAGAAAGCTGGATTTAATCAATAATGAATTCTTGAAACACAGACTTGGCCTCATAACATGGGGCTGAATTAAGTTTGAATTAACGCAAGTGTGGGGGGTGAAGTTCAATACAGGGGAGAGAGAAAGAAGTAATAAATAGTACACATGTATAGATAGTTTCTACACTACCTCAGCTGACACCTCCCAAGCTTCATTGCACGAGGAATCTCAACATGACGCCACTCTGCGAGAATTCCTTTGAACAAATGTTATAAAAACCCAGGCCATTTGCTTTTCTTCGCTCCGTTCAGTTTATCGTACCTCTGCTTTCTGCCAGAACCCTGTCACCCGGCCTCAACGGTCGCGGGACAAAGGTCTCCACAAGTTTGTTCCTTTGAAACTTCCAAAGGGCTCAGTGATCAGAATGCCAGCCAGAAGAATATGTCTATTAGCTTCTCTTGCAATACCCTAAATACCAGTGACAACATTGCCAATAGCTAGACACAAAGTGGCCTCAAGCCCAAGATCAAACACAGTAAATGCAGCAAAGGACACACACCTAGGACTGCAGGAAGCAACCTCAGATCCTATTTAAGAAGGCCATGCCAACGTATTCGTGAAGAAAAGGGAAGAGTAGAAAAAAAAACTGATAGCAGCAACTTAGACCAAACAACAGAAAGGATAACTTGAGTTTGCTAAAACCAAACAAGTGGAATAGTACCACATATGCCTCCCGCCTCAGTCAGTCCGCACTTTTAATCAGTATTTTTTTTAGCTCCTTTTCTCTTTCAAGTTACAACCTTTTCTACTTACTAATGGTGCAAAAACACCCAAAAAGCGTAACCAACACAGAATAAACGTTGTACTAGATCATAGAATTAAAAAGTTCTAATCCAACAGTGGAAAAACATTTCAAAGCTTTCCATTTCCAGTAAGGCATTGCACAGCATCAGGGCTGGTTGTGGCCTCCATTAAAGTGTTGTGAACAGAGAAGTAATCCAAGCACTTTCAAATATATGGTCGCCCACAAATATACAGTCAATTCACTTTACAGTATATTCTGTGAAGCGCTTTGGGACGTCTAGAAGACCTGAAAACGCTATCTCAAATGCACAAGTCCCATTGCTTTAAGTAGGAATTCAGCAGTGGAGTGTCTCCCTAAACACAGCACGACAAGAAGTCTCATATGTTTGCCCTCTTGTGTTCCTACATACATGATCTCTTTGGGAATAGCAGATGCCAAATCTAAGGTGTTCTCTGTGTGGACAGGCAAAAGATTGAGCTAAAAAGACAATTACAGTGACGGAAACCTGATCAGGCCAAGCAAATTCATGGCTTTCAGACAAAGGGGCAAGAGCTTTTGAAAACTAGGAGATTGCCCAAGGGTCCCAATTATGCTTATTTGGGTTCCAATTACCTGTGATCAAAGTCAAAACAGGAAATTAGACCCAATGTTCAAGTGACTGATTCAGAGCAAGGTGCTGTCTGCTCAGGTGACGATTATTCGTTCAGGTTAGGGCTGTGTGTGCCCTTAGAAAAGAGCATCCTACTTATTTGTGTGTCAAAAAGGTTGTGCTTCTCTCTCTCTCTTTTAGCAGCTGATCGATAGAACCATATTCATCAATTGTCCCCTATTAAACCTACATTCGAACATCTCATAGATAAGCAGCGACTCCAAAGTATTGTCGAAAACAACTAATTTCCGAGCAATTGTGAGATGACAGATAATGTCAGGGGACAAAACCTCGGATATCTTAAGGCACGCTTGTCTTGCAGGATAATTCAGAGCCAGTTCAAACAAAACCAGCCCTGAAGTGTCCCGAGGCTGTTTGTTAATCCTAGGATCCTGCTTTACTTTGCGGGGGTAGAATCTAACAGGGAGCAACTCTGAAACAGTGTATGTGGAGACCCACACAGGTATGGTTGCACATTTAGTTTTCTGTCCAAGGGTCTTCCTAAACTCTCATTGCCATTTTGGGTGCTGTTGGGAGGTGGAAATAAAGACTTGCACGAAGAAATGGGTGACCACTGCCTCTGAAGCTATGGTATGCTCCCATCGGCAGCACCAATAGAAAATAAAATTAACATAATTATTAATATCCTGAAATATGGGAACACTAAAAAGGTTGTAAGGGAAATGACTACTTTAGAACAGCAGTTTTACTGAGGCTTCCTTCACCACCTTGTTCAGACTTTTTATGGGTTTTTTATGATGGACTTAATAAATATCACAGCAGTCAAATTGACTCAAATCCTGTTTATTTTGCCATCTACTGAGTAACCATGGAAAGGTTCTTGTGAGGCCAATTCTTTGGAAGAAAGAGAGAGGAAATATAAAGAGTATGGTCCTGACCTTAAAGGTCCATTAAGTACATCATTCCAGTCTTAATCACTATCCCACAAGTTAACAGTTGCTACATATCACATCAATGCTGCAATTGGAGTAATTGTGGTCCCTTATTTTGTTCATTTCCAATAAGAGTATTTCCTAACACTGTAAAGGGGAACATTGCTTTACAATGAAGTTAATCTTTTACACTTTCTAACACTTCGTTGCTTTTCTATTGTGACAAACCAACAAAGCAAACCTCTCGTCTAAAACTCCTGCATGTCTGTGTCACACACTCGCTCTCCCATTTGTAAACTGTCTTCCTGGGCCAATTGATTCTCGACTGCTTTATTGCCCAATACTACTGATGCACATCTCCTGCTGTCCAGTGGCAGAAGAAAGCTACAGCATAAATCAGGCCACAATCTGCCTAACAATGAGATAATGTAATCATTAAGAGGCTGGGCTGATGACTTTCGCAGCATAGGTGCAAGGTACAATAAAATCGACTCAGATCATTAGGAAATCTTGAATAAAAGGCATTTGCACCACTTGACATAAAGAGGTGTCGGGTTACAGGCCACACATAAGGTCACAGACACCATGAGGTCCATTTATCACGTTTTTATGAGCCATTTCCTTTTGAGTTTAACCCTCTGACTGTCTGAACTGACACTATTAATTGCTGGATCGCCACTAGAGTCACACATCACAGGGCTATTGTTCTGTTGAACTCAGTAGAGATACCAGTACATAACAAGGCTATTATTACCAATGGTCTCTTTTCACTCCCAAGGCATTCCATACTCATTAAATCGAATTATTTTTGACTGAATTCTTTAATTGGTAACATTAATTTGCAGGAATAAAACTATTTTTACATGGGATTTCATCACAGCTCTGCAAACTACTACCAATAATATTTTTTAAAAATCCTTGTATTGGATATAGTACTTTAATGCCTTGTCGAAATGTCTCACAAAGTTATTTCTTAAGATTTACTGCAAAGTTATTTCTTAAGATTTACTGTTTGTGGGTGAACATGGCAACTGCCACAAACAGCCATGAAGTGAACGACCAATTTTATCTGGATTAGGTACTGGAATTATACATCGATCACATTTATTACTCATGAAATTTAATGCTGGGTCATGTTTAACCTCTACAATGAAATTGATGCACACTGTAACTCCTGTTTTGGGCATTAAGGAAAATCAATATGGAACTGAGACCACGTTTAAATGCTGTATCCTAAATCATTTCACGTATTTGCTTTGCTTTGATGTGGAAACCATTACCCAACAAGACGTGGATTAATCAAACACAAGCCCTTGTCGTTAAAAGAGTAGCAGGAATATAATAGGATGGAAGGGTGGAGTGGATCGCTGAAAACATGAAGTGAGGAGGTACTTTGTCCTTGCGAACCCCTTCACTTGGGTTCTTAAAAAGTCTGCTTTTAAGTCGAATACACTTACCGGGTCACACTTGATGATTTGTGATAGGAAGTCTGTGAGGGGCTGGTAGGAGAGAAAACTGTTGCTGTTGCCTAGATGGAGGCCATGGACAGCTGCAGCCATACTGCCAGCCGCGATCATGGATGGGGGATTGGAGATAAATTTTACATCTGCAAAAGGAAAACAAAAGAGAAAACCAATGAGGGTATTATAATCAGCTCGTATAAAAGAGAAACGAACACTGCCCTCCCCATCCCCTCCCCAATGAAAGGCAATAAACTTATCACTGTTTTTTTTCTTCTTCCCGCAATCGTTCTCTGCTGCTGGCTGTCCTCCACCGCAGTAACTGCAGTTCAGTGTAATGTGGCATAACTAAGTGACGGAGGCCTCTAGGATTTGGCACAAACTCAACGACATTCTGATCTGACACCACGCTGACAGCCGGCTCAGTCCCATGCCAGACTGCATCGCTGTAGGTCCACGCTCGAGACCACTCCCATGGATCTTTGTGAACCATATTATTGCAATTCAGACCTTGCCATCTGTAGGAGCTCAGAGCGAGCACTGGTACCTGTGCCCCGGCCAACATCCCTTCCTACTCTACGAGGCGTAGAGTGACATTGAAGCCTAAAAGACACATTTTTGTGTCCACTTTTATCCTCACAACTGCTCCAGACAAACAGCATGGTCTGCCTTTTGTCACACACAACAAGGAATTATTTGTACCAGAGGCCACTAATTTCAGCATATTAATTAGGGGGCCACTGGCTTGTAATTGGATGTCCCAGAGTGAAGAGTGTGGCATCATTGTCGACCTCCATCGCCTCATCTTGTGCTATTGAGAGCGCAGGAACAGGGCTCTGCGGTGAGATGAATTGGACCTGACATGCCTACAAAAGGAAGGGGCCCCCCCCATCAATTCAAGCACACATCCCTCCTAGCCTATCTGAGACTTCATCCGAAAGGAATAAACAACTTCAGTGTTGTAAGAATAATGGCAACCACCCTGAAGAAGACAAAAGCGAGCGGCTCGGCTTCTGAAACTCTTTAAAAAAAGAAAAAGAGAGAAAAAAAAATTCCAAACGGAACGAGTCACTCCTTCAATTCTAAATGAAGCAGTCCCATCAAACCGAGTGAGAGCTGGGGCTATGAATGAAAACCTTTCATTCAGGCAAATCAAAACTGCTTACAGAATTCACTTCCAGAGATACCACAGGTTCTGACTTGTCACATTCTTGAATCGGGGGCAGAATATAGAATATACATAAATTAACACGAAGAAAGATGGCTTCAAGTTTGTGCCGTTAATAAGAAGTCGCGTTTAACTCTATAATTATTAGAAATATGTCATTAAAAGTCGGCACCAGTCTTTTGGGGTTTGTATTCTTTGAAAGTGAGATCGGGTTATCATTGATGCCTTTCTAACGTTCAGTAAATAGAATATTTCTTTTAGAGGTAACTGGGGATTGCTAGGCCATGCCAAGATCTATTCATTACTAGCAATTATGTGTTAACTTCAAACAACGCTAGTAATTTTTCTGACCTACCGCAGCACAAAGGAGGTCTTTAGCAAAATCCAGCTCTATTAAGTAGACAATTCAGAGGGTGCATAAAAGGAATTCTGCTCAACATCACCTTGAATGTAATCCCTCCATTAAGTCTTTAAATCATCCCTTCCCCCCACTTCTTGTTAAATCTTTTGTAAAGGATAATTACTTCAGTACTCTATTTATGTGCTCTGCCCATTGCTCAGGGGCAAATGTTGTGCTTCAGCCTTTAGGCTAGACTGCTTATTTTTTTTAAGAAAAAAAGTAACTGGAGCCATGGCTCAAAGTACTGGAATGCCAGCAATGCTCAACCTTTGAACAGTCCCCGATTTGTTTCTGCATTGTGACTGCCAGCACAGCAAAGCACGTTCGAGCCTGGCAAAACTAAGCCTTGCCATCCTAATGTAATGAGCAAGCTGGAAGGGCCCAGAGATTTTCAAGATGCAAGAATAAAGCCACAAAGCAGCTCACATAACTCCAAGCTTTCCTTTCACTTTCCAGCAGCTTGAATGGCTTTAAGTCTACCCCCACTCATCTCTCCTTGCTTTCGGTAACTTCCTGTTCTTAGTTGAAAACAGTCTGCTTCTCGAGTCTAATTACGACTGGCTCTCTGTAAATAAGCCTGCACGCTGGCATTCTTTATTGCTACCGAGAAAACGAAGATCTGAGCACAAGCATGCATTTGAAGATACAAAGAGAGAGGAAAAAGCACAAGTAATTGGGAGTAAAATTCATTACGACTAACGTTCTCTGATCCTGCCGGGAGCTAGATAACTCCCTTAGTCTGAAGAGAAGCTCAAACTTCTGTAAGATTGAACTCTGGATACAAATCTGACAGCTTAGCATTGTGTAATTTGCATCTAAATAAAGACTATCCCCAAAACAGACAAATTTGCAAACACTGACATCGATCATTTTCAACATTAATTCAGGTGCATTTGGGTTTGAGACAGCATTTTTTTCCTGCAAAAATATCTTCCCTTTCCCCTTCTCCCTTTCCCCGGGTCTCCTGGACCACACAAGATGTGCACCCAGGGAGGTGGCTTCTCAGCCGGTTAGCAATCTCCCAGGCCTCCAACTAGAGCTGCTCTCTATAGCTGCTCCTGAAATGTGCACGACTAGTCAAGGGGAGTGAGTAACTAACTCTCCTTTTGATCTCCCTTCCGCCCCATGGGAAAATACCTTGTGTGCATTCAACGCCTACCTTACCCGCACGAGTAGCCTTCAAACCAGGAACTTAGCGGACAGGTGGTTAAGCTGGACTAAGCGAGTAACGGGAACCAATATAACACAGTCACCACTGCCAACTTCATAGAACAGTCCAATCAACCCCGTGGCTTTCAATGCCAGAAATGGCTCTGTAGCTGTCTATCAGAGCATCTTTAACGCTGATGCTAAAATAAGAATTTTTTTTTAAAAAATTAAGGAACTAATTTATTAATTGAGTCACAGTCCTAGTGTCAGTGAGGGTTGAATCCAATCCCCCACTTGCACTTACACAGCACATTCCCCTAGAGGGCGGTTTTCCCCCAGTTCCCCCCCAGTGCAGCTGTAGCCCTGAGGAGGCGAGAAACGGGGTGAAATCCTGGCGTTCTGCACCAACTCAACTGCGCCTCCTGGCGGCCGGACCCAGGAACAGCACCGACAGGCGCCCAGGGAGATGTCTAGACGGGACGACAACATCTTGGACAGGAGGAGTGAATGTCCCGAGACTTGCTTCAGAGGAGAGCAGGGAGAATAGGGTTCGGAAGCCACTTTGACTTTAATAATGCTTAGCTATTGAGATGACTAATTTGATTTCACCATTTATATATATATATATTTGTACACAAACTCTGTGTTTATAGAATGGACCACTTCCTTTAAAACAGCACCTGGCAATCCTATCTGAAATCTGATAAAGGGGAACAATAGTCTTAGACCTTCACCATAATATTTGTGTACACACACACACGCGCAGTAAAGCACTGGCCTTCCATTCCCCTGAGGCGTTGTGGGGAATGTTTTAATGTACATCAACCGGTCCCTTGACGGGAAGATGCCGCGTTCAGGTGGTTAGTGGGTGATGAGAGTATCAGTACATCATGAGAATCCAAAGATAAAATATTCCAAGCGCCAATAGGCAATTCCCACGCTATCTTGTACCCTCAACTGAAGATATAAAGTAGATGTCTCCAATGATATTTGAATACGATTTGTTTTAAAATACACAAAGCGCCTACTGTGCATTTCGGTAGCGAGTTGCACCTGTAGCTGTGTACAGAGCGTTGCATCCGCAAAGCCACCTGAGGGTCCCAACTGTGCACCCAAATGCCAGCAAATCCCTTTGCAATTTCTGCAAGTGATTGCTAATTTCCCTTCTACACCATCCAACCTTGGAGGCTCCTGCCTCACACCTGGGCTTTCTCCATCTTTCATGTTAATACTCTCACGCGAAAGTTTACCAATAGGACCTCTCAACAAACTCTTCAGAAAAAAAAATCTAAAATGTTGTGCATCCTCTTTCTTAGATGTGTAGGTTTTTTTTCTGTTTAGTTATTACTAATAATAAAAAAAACTTTTTTTTGGGTGGGGGGTGGTGGGGGGGTTTCCCTCCTGGTTGGACTCACTCCGTACCTGTAGCACAAAGAGCCACAAAAGTCTGGGCGTGTTTGCGGATGATCTGTTTGCTGTCCTTGGGGACGGGCAGTTTGCTGAGGAAATGTTCAATGAAATCGTGAGGAGTCACAGAGGCCAGATCCCACTTCAGTTTGTTCAGGACAAGCAGCTCCATTTGCTACAGGGGGAGGGGGAAGGAGAGAGAGAGAGAGAGAAAAAACACATAACACATGATAATAATAATAATAATAATAATAATCCTTGCATTTGATATAGCGCTTTTCACGTCGGGAGGACGTCCCGAAGCGCTTCGCAGAATATACTGTAAAGTGAATTGACTGTATATTTGTGGGCGAACTGTCTTCCTGACTTCACTCTCATCCTCTTCACAACACACACACACACACACACACAGTCTCAGAGCAACGGTGTTCTCCTTTTTTCTAAAAGCAAACGGGTTGCAGTAAAACAGATCGACTTTATTGCAATGTTGGGGGTGTGGGGGTGTGTGTGTGGGTGGGGGGTGTGTGTGTGGGTGGGGGGTGTGTGGGTGGGGAGGGGGGGGGGGGGGGGGGGGGGTGGGTGCGCCTTGTGGCAGATAAACAAACCAATGCGCTCCGTTTAGTAACGCAATTCCCCCAGTAATTGGGACCTCGTTAGGTGTGTTGCGTCCTGTCCGCTGGTGGGGGGTTGTCTTTTCTCCTTCGGGCCGATAGGGGTCGCTCGCGGTCCGCAAACACAGACTGGGACCACTCCAACCCGAGAGTGAGACATTGGGCACCGACGACAACAACAACAAAAAAAAGAGGGGATAAAATGTCACATATTGAAGTTTGGTTCTTAAAACCCCTTCCGAGCTCTTACAACCAGTGCAGTGGATGGCGTGTGATGTTGGGGTTTGGGGGACATCGATCGCTCTTAAGATGGATTTTTTTTGGGGGCATAAATGTCACCCAAAAATATTAGTATTATTATTAATTATTATTATAAAACCAAAACTTGGGTCAATGTGTGTGTCGGCTTTGCAGTGTTTTGCCTGTGGTGTGGTTCGAGGCGAAAGGCTGCGAAAGGCTGAGAGAGACGCACACCGTCCAGATGTTGAACCTGTAATAAGTAAATGCATTGCAATATGCAATGGTTTGAGGCGCACTGATAAGACTTGTGCACATGGTGGGGGGGGGGGGGGGGGGGGGGGGTTGCAGGTCTGGGAGGGGTTGCAGGTCGGGGGGGGGGTTGCAGGTCTGGGGGGAGGGGTTGCAGGTCGGGGGGGGTCGGGGGGTTGCAGGGGTTGCAGGTCTGGGGGGGGGGTCGGTTGCAGGTCTGGGGGGGGGGGTTGCAGGTCTGGGGGGGTTGCAGGTCGGGGGGGGGGGGTTTGCAGGTCTGGGGGGGGGGCTGCAGGTCTGGGGGGGGTTGCAGGTCTGGGGGGGGTTGCAGGTCTGGGGGGGGGTTGCAGGTCTGGGGGGGGGTTGCAGGTCGGGGGGGGGGGGTTGCAGGTCTGGGGGGGGGGGGTTGCAGGTCTGGGGGGGGTTGCAGGTCGGGGGGGGGGGGGCTGCAGGTCTGGGAGGGGTTGCAGGTCGGGGGGGGGGGCTTGCAGGTCTGGGGGGGTTGCAGGTCTGGGGGGGGGGGGGGTTTGCAGGTCTGGGGGGGGGTTGCAGGTCTGGGGGTTGCAGGTCTGGGGGGGGGTTGCAGGTCTGGGGAGGGGGGGGGGTTGCAGGTCTGGGGGGGGGGGGGTTGCAGGTCTGGGGGGGGGGGGGGTTGCAGGTCTGGGGGGGGTGGGGGGGGGGGGGGGTTGCAGGTCTGGGGAGGGGGTTGCAGGTCTGGGGGGGGGTTGCAGGTCTGGGGGGGGGGGGGGGGTTGCAGGTCGGGGGGGTTCGGGGAGGCTAAAAAAACACACTATTGAGACGTGATATTATTTGCACACATCACTGCCAGGAATGTGTCGGTGTCACCGTTTCATTCGATTGTATTTCAATCGTTGGTAGAAAAGCCACTTTATTAGCAATCATTAATGCATATATATATATATAGAGAGAGAGAGAGAGAGAGAGAGAAGTGGTGGTGGAGGACATATGTTTCAATAAAAAAAATGATAGTGAAAGTGATACGAGTTGCAATGATGGAGGAGGGGGTGGGGGGGGTGGGGGGTGAATTTACCAGTAATTCCTCGGGTTTGATGGAGTTGTCTGTGTATATGCAGAGTTTTTCCGCTGTTAATGGAATAGTTTCCTTCATTTTCGATGCCAAAAACATACACGTCGCTCCCAGTAATTGCAAGTGGGTTTTCTTGGTCAGTTCGATGGACAAATAGCGGTCCAAATAGTTCATGGCTAATGGGAAGACCTCTTCTTCGCATTTCTGCTCCTCGCAAACCTATTTGTGTGGGTGGGAGGGAAGAGAAAACACAGGGGAGGGGAGGAGAGGAGAGGGAGGAGAGGAGAGGGGAGGAGAGGGAGGAGGAGGAAAAAAAAGTGGAAGATTAGTTGCAGCAAAAAAAATATTTATTTGAAATTAACAACTCCAACAAAACTGGAAATATTATGTCCTTAATTCGTAATCTCTTTATTTCTGAGCAACGGATTGGGATTATGTTAGTTAGCGTTCAATGTTAATTGCGCTATTTCCCTCTCTCTCTCTCTCTCTCTCTCTCCCTCTCTCTCTCTCTCTCTCTCTTCTGCAAAGTCGGGTCTGAATTTCCACTCCGTCATCTTTTCAAAAAATATTTAAAAATATTTAAAAAATAGCCCGAGCCACAAAAACCACACGAAAACCCGCAGAAAGCGATCCTCTTTCGATTGCAATGGGATTTGGACGATTTGGGGGTTGTTTTGTCTGAGCAAAGAACTAAAGTTCACAGCCCGGGGGGGGGGTGTGGGTGGGTGGGTGGGTGGTGAGTGTGAGTGAGTGAGTGAGTGAGTGTGTGAGTGAGTGAGTGAGTGAGTGAGTGCGGAGGATATCTCGCAAAGAAGTCGCGGGGGATCGGAAACTTCAGAAATTAATTTTTTTTAAAAAAATAAGAAAAAGCGAAGGGAAGCGATGGGGAAAACGCATCGAAAAATACGCCTCATATGTCTCCCCCCCGTCCCCCCGTCCCCCCGTCCCCCCCCAGTCCCCGGGGCTGCGGGGAGACCGGCGGCGCAACTTTGGTGCGAGTCGACGCGAATTAATTGAGGAGTTTATCGGGGAGTGTCGAGATGCTGAGGAGGGGGTCGTGTGTGTGTGTGTGGTGGTGGGTGTGTGGTGTGTGGTGTCAATTTATTTCTGTATATAAAAGGATAACACTTCTTCTTCTTCTTCTTCGCGAACAAACTTTAGGCGACTCCCCGCAAACTCGCACCCGCACCGCACCCGCACCCGCACTCGCACCGCACGGCCGAGAGTCCCCCCGTTGCGCTGTCGGTTCGGTTCGGTACGGTTCGGCCACACGAAACCCACCGCTCGCTGCGAAGTCCCCCCCCCCCCCCCCCCCAACTTCCTCCACGTCGCGTCTCAATTCATTTGGAAATATTTCTCTCTCTCTTTCCCCCCTCTCTCACCCCCCCCCCCCCCCCCCCAAAAAAAAAAAAAAAAAAAACCCCTCTTTTTTTTTAAGCGCAAAAAAAAAATTATTTCACCGCAACACGCAACAAAGATGGCGTATTGTACTGGCAACGACCGCACTGCATACGTGTACATACTTATTTATTTTAAAATAAATTCGCAGCCCCGACCCAGGGCAGACTTTTTGCCAATGCAACTCGTGCCCCCCATTCCCCCCCTCCACCCCCCCCGTGCCCCCATTCCCCCCCCCTCCACCCCCCCCCCCCCCCCACCCACACCCACTGGCAATTCATCTTCAAATTCACCCCCTTTTCTTTCGAGCTGCAAAGTGCAGGCGTTTGGGTCTTTTTATTAAACTCTCTCTCTTTTGCAAAAGCCACACACACACACACACACACACAGAGAGACTTAGGAGAGAGGGAGAAATAAAAATAAAAATAAAAATAAAAATAAAAAAGATTTGAAAATTCCGCAACAATTAGGCAGAGGGTGCACAGTGGGGAGAAACATGTACGGGGGAGGTGCAGAGCTGTCTGGCTTTACTGGGAGTTGGGGGGACTGGGTTCCAGAGTCACAGGAAAGTAGTTTAGCAACTTGGGTCAAAGAGAGTGAGGGGGTGTCTGGCTCTCCTTTATATATATCTATCCATATATCTATATATATATATAGTAATAATAGTTTGCAAAATTGTGCAAAAATAAAGTGGAACATCTGGCTGGCTTGGTATTATTTTTTCTCTCTCTCTCTCTCACTTTCTCAACACACAACAACAACACACACCACACACCACACACAAACCTCCAGCATCCAAGTTGCGACAATTTTCCTCATGGATGGCAGGATTTCTTTTTGGACGCATTTGAAGTAACTGAGGGAGGGCAGGCAGTTCTCCTCCGTGCGGAGCATAGTCTGCAAGACTCGGTCATTGAGCAAATTGGGATCTTTGTAGGCTCTCCGGATGGTCTCCACCTCGCAACATAGCAGCTGATGTTCCATGGCTGGGGAGCTTAGCTTAGCTCAACTCTCTCTCTCTCTCACACTCTCTCTCTCTCTCTCTCTCTCCTCTCTCCCTCCTCTCTCTATCGCATGGACTAAATCGAGGAGGATGCTTGGTTTGCCTCTGGAGGCTACAGTTCAACAAAACTTGCCCGCAAGTGACGCAATGCCTTTTTAGTTGTTGTTATGCAGAGCAGCTGGGACTGCAAGATCAAAGGAGAAACTAGAGAGGCCACCACAGGGGCAGAGCCTTAAAGCCTTCCCTTCCCTCCCCTCGCTCTCCTCCTCCCTCCCTCCCTCCCCTCTCCCTCTCCCTCCCTCCTTCCTTCACATCCATTGCAAGAGGAGAGAGGGAGGGAGGGAGGGGAGGGGAGGGGGGGGGGGGGGGGGGGGGACGAGGCAGGATTTTATCAATGCAAATTAAAACACGACCCTTATTGATCGCCGGTTGCATTGGCTTCTTGCAGAGAGTGGGTGTTTTATTCCGGGAGCTTCAAGAGAGACTTGACTTGAACCGGACTTTTATTTTAAGAATCGTGGAAATCATAATAATAATAATAATGATAATAATAATAATAATAATAATAATAAAGAAACGACCTTTTTTTTGTCTCTCTCTCTCCCCCATCTTAAGAGATCTCTATTGTCAGAGAGTGGAAGGAAGTTTGGAGTCAGCTATCAATCAGCGATTGATTGATTGATTGATTGACTGATTGATCGATTGATTGATTGATTGACACTCCAGCGCTACTTTGTCTGTATACAATACTGTACTTAAAAAAAGTGGACGAACAGTAGTAATTCAATGAACAAGTTGAGTTAACATAATATATATATGCATTTGGAGGCATAAAAATAATGACATTATTCGCAAGTAATTTTCGATTGAAATCTGCTCAGTTTATAAGGGGGAAAAATGCCCCCTTTACGAAAAGTCATTCCCCCCCCAAGTTTTCTTCTTTTCCACCCCTTTTTTTTGGTGCATTTTGCCCTGAAACACACTGAGATCTCTCCCACCCCCGCACACCAACACACCATCCAAGGATCAGCCCAGTTTATCCCCGGGATATTATATTCAAGCAATGTTGCCTTCCTGAAAAACATGTGTGTGTGTGTGTGTGGGTGTGTGTGGTACAGATCCACATACTGTATATATATATATATATATATATATTGCACATATATTACATATATAAAAAAAGAGTTCGCCCACTGGAAAATTTAAGGATGAAATTTTTTTTTTTTTTTTTTTTTGGCAAATCGTCCTGGATGTAGGAGAGGAACCTCCTCACTCCGGTAGAAACAGAGGAGAAGGTATTAGCATAACCAATCGCGAAAAAGATTGTTACCAGGCAGATCTGGGCTGTACATCGATCACTCAGCCTCTAGTCCATCCCTTTTGTTCACATGGATGTGATGGGGAACACTTGGGGCAGTGTGTGTGTGCTTTGGGGGGTTGGTGGGGTGGTGGGGGGTTGGGGTGGGGTGGGGTGGGGGGTGTGTGTGTGGGGCAACGAGGGCGATCCGAGGTGGGAATCACCTATGATCCGAAATACCTCTCTCGAAACAATTACGCATTGCATTGCGTTGCGTTGCAAGTCAGTCGGTCCATTCCATTGCCATCCACTCACCCCCCAAACTCGCGTTTTTTTTTAAAAAAAAGTCTGCGATTTATTTCTAAATAATGCATCGATATATGTATCATCAATATATATATCTGTGTGAAAGTTCCAGTCCTTCGCCTTCGGAGCTCTCGAACATCGTTGCACTTTTAATCAATCGCCATCCCTCTGGGAGACAAGACTTCAAATTGGGTGGATATATAAAAAATAATAACAAACCTCTGCCCCCACCACCACCTCCACCACCTCCACCACCACCACCTCCTCCACCCCCTCCTCCACCACCCCCCCCCCCCCCCCCCCCCCCCCCCCCCCCCCCCCCTCCACCACCACCTCCTCCACCACCCCTCCACCACCACCCCCTCCTCCACCTCCACCACCACCCTCCCCCCTCCACCACCTCCTCCACCTCCTCCACCACCTCCACCCCCTCCACCTCCTCCTCCACCCCTCCACCTCCTCCACCTCCACCACCACCTCCTCCACCTCCACCACCTCCTCCACCCCCTCCACCTCCACCACCTCCTCCACCTCCACCTCCTCCACCTCCACCACCACCTCCTCCACCTCCACCACCACCTCCTCCACCCCCTCCACCTCCACCTCCGAGGAGAGAGAGAGAGAGAGGATGTCTTTATGGTTCTATTTATGTTCTTTTATTATGGGTCGATTTGATGTGGAAGAGGGGGTTTTGGGGGGAGGAAGGGAGAGAAGGAGGGAGGGAGGGAGGGAGGGAAGGTAGGAAAGGAGGAGGTGGGTGGGTGGGGGGGGGGGGTCCTGCGTGTGTTTGGGGGTGAATCTTGTCGCATGATGGTGACTGGGGGCCGGGACATTCCTGGGATTCCAGGCTGCGCCTATGTTAACAAGTCCACATGCTCCGTTTGCATCTAATTACCGTAATACAACTAAGCTATTGTTCCCGGGATCCAGGTTCTGCCAAAGCCACCCCACAGCATCTGTCAAACACCGAGGGGATGGGGTGAATTTCACTTAAAACACAACCACACACACACACTCACACCAGACGCGCACACACACATACACTCACACACACACACACACAGAGATCTCACCGCTCTCCTGTGGGAGGCGACTCGGATTTGTTTGTGTGGGTGTGTGGGAGCGAAGAGGGTATTGAGAGGGGTATTATGCTACTGAGTCTATTAGCTCTGTGGGTGTGTGGGTGTGTGTGTCTGTGCGTGTCTCTGTGTGACTGTGTGTGTGTGTGTCTCTGTGTGTGTGTGTCTGCGTGTGACTGTGTGTGTGTCTCTGTGTGACTGTGTCTGTGTGTGTCTCTGTGTGTGTGACTGTGTGTGTGACTGTGTGTGTGTCTCTGTGTGTGACTGTGTGTGTGTCTCTGTGTGTGACTGTGTCTCTGTGTGTGTGTGACTGTGTCTGTGTGTGTCTCTGTGTGACTGTGTCTGTGTGTGTGACTGTGTCTGTGTGTGTGTGTGACTGTGTCTCTGTGTGTGTGTGACTGTGTCTGTGTGTGTGACTGTGTCTCTGTGTGTGTGTGACTGTGTCTGTGTGTGTGACTGTGTCTCTGTGTGTGTGTGACTGTGTCTCTGTGTGTGTGTGTAGTGACTGTCTCTGTGTCTCTGTGTGTGTGTGTTTTAAACAAAAATCATCGATGTGCGCTGCATCGAGGAAGGAAACGTGAGTCATTCGGGTTTTTTTCCCCTCTTAATCCTCTGCGATTGATAGATTGCAAACATCCCGGTCAGGGGGCGGCGCTATTAATGCAATATCTCTATGACAGGGGTCGAAAAAAATGACCGGCGATGGATGAATGAATGAATGAATGAATGAATGACATTCAGCGCATTATTATTTTGCTGGAATGGCAACGAAAAAAAAGACAAGTGGCAATATTTTTTCTCTCTCTCTCTCTCTCTCTCTCTCAGAGAGACTTTCTCCTGCACCCCGTGAACTTATTGCAACATCATTAGAAACCCAGTGTTTGGGGGCAGCTGTTTGCATCCTTGTCGGTTTCAGAGTGATAAGTTTAATCAATTTATTTTCTCTTTCTCTCTCTCTCTCTCTCCATCCATCCATCCATCCAGACAGACAGACAGACAGACAGACGGATGCAGTGGTCGAGTTCGGATTGCACATCGTTCAGAGTCTGGATTCAAATCATCCTGTGCCCTCTCTCCCTCTCCCCACTCCCTCTCTGAGAAAATAACCCCATTGCAACCGTGTGGTTTTTTTTGTTTCCCCCCCAAGACCAATGCTCCAAACGCACACCGCCTGTCCACGATGCTTTTTTTTTTAAAATAGGTAAATAAAATATTTTCCCCCATAAAGTGCTGCACATTTCACTTTCTCTCTCTCTCTCTTTTTTTTTGCACCGATGCAATGCAAGTGTCGGCCAGACTGTCCTTGCAGGGTTTCTCCAGTGGGGCTGCACGTTACACAGTGACTTGACACTGTGCGTCAGGTAGTCGGGGTGATACGGTACTGGGTGGGGCTGACGCACAGGTAGGCAGGAGCCCAGGTAAACCAGGTAGAGAGAGAGAGAGAGAGAGGGACAGGTGTCACACTAAACGCAGCATATATTTTTTTCGCAGTGTTATTACACGCCCGCAGATTCACGCGCACTCGGTTCCCGGTCCCGAAGGTTCACAGCGGGGCCCCGCGTGTACTTCACCCACGATATGGTAATTAATAATGATCCTTGCGTTGGATCCAGGGCTTTTCGCGTCTTCCCGAGGCGCCAAAGCGCTTCACGGAAGAGACCGCAAAGTGAATTGACTGTCATGTGTGTGGGCGAACGCGGCAGCCGATTGCGCACGGCACAATGAAGAATAGTTGCGGGGTTCGCCCGCCAAAGTACACAGTCGATTCGCTTTAGAGTCTATTCTGTGAAGCGCTTTCGGACGTCTCAAAGACGTGATAAGGCGCTGTATCAAATGCGAGGATTATTATTATTATTATTATGAATTGACAAGAGGTGTAACTTCGTAACTCTTTGGGAATACGGGGGAAGGTACAGTTATCAACAGTGACGATTCATTTTTTTAATCTGGTTCCACCCAAAACTAAAAAATTTGGTCATTTCTATTTGTGTGCTTGAATATTTCATCAGCATTTCAGTTGCAGCATAAAGAGGTCTTGTCACTTAAAAATGACAAATGACTATAAATAATGTTAATAATAATCCTTGCATTTGATAATAGCGCCTTATTGCTACACGTCTCAAAGCACTTCACAGGATATACTGTAAAGTGGATTAATTGTGTATTCTTTGGGCGAAACACAAACTATTCTTCATTTTAGGTAAATATGTTTGTTCTGCTTTGAACTTTCATGTCCAAGAAATGAGTGGAAGTGAATTTGTGGCATAAGGGCATCTATATTGCACAAAATATATTGCATTTATTTGGAAGAAGCTTGTTATAGCATCTTGGTCTGTCTAAATAAAATCTTTTGTTCTCTTTGCACATGTTTGGTTGACGATATTTTGTGTACACATTTCAGTGCATTGTTTGAATTGATTACAATTACAGAGTCATTGTTCTTGATGGTTACCTATGAGGCACTTTACCCCAATTCACTGTTGTAGGCATAATATCAAATGTAAGGATTATTTCTACTATTGTCGATGTGCATTGTATGATACAGATTGACTAAGGGTCTGTGTTTGTGAATAGACCATTTGCATTGCTTTTCAATTAATAAAAATTAATTAAGGTAGACCAGTCCGTTGTAATAATTTTAACAGCCTTTCAAGTGTCATGTGATAAATAATAATCGTTGCATCTGTAAATCCAAGAAACTAATAATAAGTGTGTAGAACATTACTGAGATTAAATTGAGAGCATTGTTCCAGGTCTGGTCTTTGAACCTCAGAAAAGGCATATGGGGATTTGGAACAAAAGTTGCAATGAATGAATAAGGTGGAGCCTGAGCTGTTCTTTATGGGGGAAACAAGTGAAATGAATCAGGACATGATTAGAAGCTTTAAAACATGGGATAGAACAACATCTTCAATTTATTCACTTAGAGTTGCAAATTTATTGAATAATCATGTGAACAAGTCAATTCACTTTACAGTATATTCTGTGAAGCTCTTTGAGAGCACCAAATGTGATAAGGCACAAAAATGTGATGAGGCACCAAATCAAACGCAAGGATTATTAATTATTATTATTGAATGCTGAATCTTGTGAATTCTTTGAAGAAGGAAATGGTAAATTTCCTGGTTGCCGGGGAGTGGGAGGATACAGGCTTGGGTTGAGGCAGGATGGACATCAATGTGTCTCGAATCAGACTTCAAACCATGACAGCTCAATGGGCTAAATGGCATTTTTTAAAAACAATTATGTTCTTCCTCATTTGAGTTTATATTTCAGTAACTTGATGCTGTACTCAACAAGAAGTTGCTTACTTCCTCAGAGATTCGTAAGGGAATATTACTTCACTCTCCAATTTAGTGTAAATAATAAATGTTAAATATTGTAGGTGTAAATATGCACCTACAATATTAATAAATATTTTGTTGGGAGCAATATTGGTAGTTCCAGTGATAAGTAAAGACTTGAGATGATCAAATGTTCCACAGAACATGATGGATTCCTGGGTTGGAGAGGTTGGGTGGTGCGGTCAGCAGTCAGCTCGGGTTAAATTGTGGAGATAAATAGATAACCTGGGAATTAAATGAGTGATATCCAAGACATGGCAGACACTAAGCAGCAAGAACAACAATACCAATAACATCTTGCATTTATATAGCACCCTTCACAAGGGCAGTCAGTGTTTGAGTTCCTCGAGTGGAATTGAATTGATGTGTTGAATGGTCTTCCTCATTTCACCCTTTATGCTCTGAAGTACAGTATGCTCTTCCAACCATATGTTTGTTTTTCTTTTATCTCATTTATAAGCAAAGAATGTTTGGCTTAAGGCATGGGTGCAAATTTGCCATTGACACTAATGGACCACTGGCTTTAGTGAGCCGTGAGGTGACAAACTTCAACAAACTGTGACAAATGTCAATAAGCTGTCACAAGAGAAGTCTGTGCTCTGTCCTTGAATACATGTTTAAACAAAGCAGCAGTGAAATTAATCATGTTTATAGTTCACAGCTTTTGGTAGTAATGAATGGGTAAGGGGCTGACTTTTGTGTCCCATTTATTTTGCCATCAGGCATGTCATGGCAGCCCTAACGTTAGCTGTGGTGTGGTGGAAAGAGGAGAAACTTTTGATTCTATTACTACTAATAATAATCCTTGCATTTGATATAGCACCTTTTCATGTCTTCGAGACGTCTCAAAGCGCTTCACAGAATATACTATAACTTGCCTGCATACTTTGTGAGTGAAACACGGCAGCCAATTGCGCACAGCAGCATTCCATAAACAGTCGTGGATTGAAGTGACCAATTTATTATTATTATTTTATTGAAGGAATTATTATCCTCGGAAAAACAATCCACCAATCGACTAACAAACAGGTTCCTACTTACTGCTAGATAAACAAAGGCGTGGGGAGTAAGGAAACATTGCCCAGCATTTCGCCCGGCTGGGAATTGAACCCAGTTCTTTTGCTTGTGAGGCAAATGCTCTAACCACTGAGCTACAGGACTCCTGAAGCCATTACACACTGAAGTCATTATAGAGCAAGTTCATTTGTAGGGCTGGCGGTCATTTTTATTTTGCATTCCCGTTATAGTGTGGGTATGCAAAACTTATAGTGTGGGATCAAAACCGTAGAATAATGGAGTCGAACTGAGTAAGTGAATCCACTTATGAACAATTACATATGAAGCTCTTTGAGATGTCTCAATGTTACAGGCACTGTATTAAATGCAAGGATTATTATTATTATTAAAAGTGCACTGTTATAGCTCTGTTGTTTCAGCTGCTGTGTGAAGCTCCCACAATATAAACGTTCCAAAGTGCTTCTGTTATATTAAAGCTCTCTCATTAAAGTTTTGTACACTTCAGCATATCACAGACTCAGGACTGCACTTGTTTTAATAACTTACTTATAATGCTCTTTCATGTTCCTTCAGTGTGTTTGAAGTTAATATTCCTTCAGGATACCAAACAAAATCAGCAAGATCCTTTAGTAAAACGACTGGATGACCAGAGAATTTTAGTTCTTCATTTAACTTTAATATGTTTTGTAACTTTAAGATACAGGAGTATTTTAGGCTCCAACTTGTCAGTAGCCTTAGGTTTCAGTCATAACTCATTGGTTGACCGGCAGTTGTAAAGGTAAATAAACTCATCACTGCATATCAGTATGTGGATGAAATGCAAGCTTTATTTAAGTTCAGTTCTTGTATTATTTTGAAAGTAATTCATAATCGAGTACAGAGCACGGTGGGATTGTGCAGTGTTATGGGATTTGCTTGAAATGAAGATGGCATCACTGGAAATGTTTTGTTTCATTTCCATCGGTGATGTTCCAGGTTGAGAATTTTATCAGCCTGTGAAGTTTTCAACCACAGAAACACTATGAACAGCCTGTGGCTGAGTTCTCAGTGTGATCAGTGCATCAGTGCAGTGTGATTGTTCATTGCAAAATTGGCATTCAAGCCAGCACGATTCACCAGAGAAGCTGAGGATGAAAGAGCAGAGACAAATATCATACCTGTGAGTGTCTCTCACTCTGGGATCTTTGCTGTAGCCATAGCTGTTATTAATTCTACTGCTCCATGTGAACGATTTTCCTTTGCATCTTCACCTGTGATGACAAACGCACATCCACTTTACTTTAGCGCCTTACATTTGATGCATGTTGAGCAATTTGCTCCCTTTCTCCTCCAGATTAACAGGAATTAGACCGAGAAACAGCTACCACAAGGCCTTAGTCGTGCTCCTTCTACGCAATCAGTTCTAATCACAGTGCAGTATTCGGAGTCCTGTAGCTCAGTGGTTAGAGCACTCGCCTTGCAAGTGAGACACCTGGGTTCAATTCCAGGCAGAGGGCGAAACCTTGGGCAAGTTTCCTTACTCCACACACCTAATAATAATCCCTCCAAAAAACAAAACAATAATAAAATTGGTCATTTTCAATCCAAGACTGTTTATGGGACGCTGCTGTGCACAATTGGCTGCTGTGTTTCGCCCACAAAAATACAGTCAATTCACTTTACAGCATATTCTGTGAAGCACTTTGAGACGTCGAGAAGACATGAAAAGCGCTATATCAAATGCAAGGATTATTATTATTATTCGAATGGGGACATCAGGTTGGTAAGGCACACAACAACTAATTGAATTCGAGAATATACTTACAAGAATAGATGACATAACACTACATTCATTTAAGAAACTGTTTGATGCTACAATGGAAAGGCACGCTATGATTGGTATTCTGGAAGGATGAGATTAAATCGTGCAAAAACCCTTTCCTCGTCTGAACCTCTCTTGTGTTCTTGTGAATATCTGAAGCCCTCAAGGAATGACAGATCATGTCACTGGTTGCACAAGATCCCACAGGAGATCCAATAGGTAAAACAGAGCTTGTTCCAGATTTCCAAAATGTATTCCTGAAGAAAGTCTGAAAAAGTGCAAAGTACAATCATGCAGTGTCGACACGTATATCGATCAGAGATTGCCACTTGCCGAAAAGTGGTCAAGCAATGTCATAAATGATTCAGCCAGTTGCCTTGTCATATACTCGGCACATGGGAGATGTTTATTGCCCCATAAACGCGGCAATTCTGAAGTATATCATTCAGTCACTTTGCTGTTAATGTCATTGATTTGAATTGCAGTCTGATATCTTGGCTCAAAGTGCAGCTTTATGATACTTGTGTTATCTTATTTGCTGCCGGAAGTCTTGTACAATAGAAACGTCTTTTGAAGTTTGAGTTGATGTATCAATTTGCGAAAAGGTGAATCAAACAGGAATGAATAAGACCTGGAGATCTCTTTAGATTGAATAACCTGACAGGCTTATTTATTAACTATCTGCCCATTTTAAGAAGAAACTGTAGCGATGTCTGTTATCAAAAAGGTTTAACGTTGGGTTAAAGGGATCACACCACAACCACTCACTATCTACATTACTGCGCCCAACTCCAACATTAAATAATTGCTGGAATCTCATCTTCTAGTACTTTTAATATCACTCGATATTACCGCACTGTTTTGCTGTGTTTTTTACTTTACATGTGAGAAAGAGTAAAGATTTTATTCAGATCTGCAAGACATATGTTTTCCAGTGAAATAAATCCATTAATGAATCGGTAATGATATACTGTGTGGGGCTGCCTTGCAAGAAACGACTGTGTTCCACAAGGTATTTTAACCTGTGGCAGGAAATAGCCAGTTACACATCTGTTATTGTCAATGACCGAGTTTGAAATATTCGCAGAACCACTCAGATAACTAAGGGGGGAAGATATGAGGTAAATTCTTCAGAGGTTTTGTACAGCGCTGTTTCAGGGGGTTGAGATGGCACCATGCAGGCCAACACAAAGGAACACGACAGCTTTAAGAACCAAGAGGGCCTCAATACAAGTGCTCTCAGCCCCACTGAATCCAGTCTCCAACAATGTTGTAATCCATATGTTGTTGAAAATAACCCACTGACCAAGTTTTACTTACTCAACCCCTCAATCGGGATTATCTGGCAATATTTCTTTATATTCGTGCAATGAGAAAAGAGGAAGTTGTTATATGAAAAATATATATATCATATATAATTGTAAGATCAATAGCTTTAGAAAATTACATCTAGATATTTCAATCACTCATTTTGAATGAGAATTTTAAATGTGGAATGGTGGGAGTCTAAGTAAAAATTATGAGGTAGGGGGTTTAAAAGAATGATGTTATTGGCAAAGGTTTGACTACAAAGTACATAGTCACTACACTTTGCAGTAGATCCTGTGCATTCCTGTGAAGCTTTTGCGATGTCCTCCCCATGTGAATGGCACTAGATCAAACGTAAGGATTATTATTAGTATTAGTATCTATTAAAGGTTGCATTCGGGCAACATCTCACAAAGCATGACAAGGGCTCACCATTAAATCCTACAGCTTCAGCAGCTGAAGCTATGAGGAGGTCCTGGTCTATTTAGCCCTCTTTTACAATCCACTATAGTCTTAACTCGTTTAATCCATCAGACTTTTCTGCTTCAGTGAAGGTAGAACAAAACTGCTGTCAACCTTTTCGGTCCCATTCCATTCCATTTCAACCTTGCCTGACAGCTCATGGAGTGTAGCCAGAACATTAATACCTCAATACAAGTGCAGCATTTAAAGAAATGTACATCGTTGCAGAAAACAATTAGACCCATTGCCATCTATAAACCTGGTATCTCACTGCAAAAAAGCCCTACCTCGACTTGCCTGCTATATCATACACTTGCTTAGGTCGCCTTACTTATAACACCCCCCAGTATCGCTTTAGAGAGTTCTGAGGTAGTTTTGAACACCAATAAGCACATCTAACTTGTATAAATAAACCACAATGTGCCGAGGAAATTACAGTAGGTTTCAAAATAATATGTCAGATGGGGGCCAAAGGCAATCTCACAATTTGGGAGTCAGAACATGTAGAGGTGTTTATTTATGCTGTGATGTGGAGTCAAGATCCATCAACAGTACCATTTCCATCCATTATTGCATTACTTTTTTCAGTGTCACTAGGCCTCCGTGTCATACTTATGTTACTTCAGCATAACATTCCTTGTGTTTTCTTCCCACTGATCTCCTCAGGCTATAGCCACACTGAGAGGGCGGCTAGCAGCCACATCCCAGGCTTTTACTGAACTAGTTATTCAGAGGTGTGTGAGAAAGCCTTAGGGATAATGCGTCATATCTGTTCTCTCCCTGCAGGGAGATGTGTGGAGAAGAGTGTCTGGGAGCGGCTTCCTCCACTTCTATTTGTGCAGAGGTGTGTGTGTGGGTGTGTGAGAGAGTGTGAGAGAGAGCGAGATGTGCCACTCCAGTTGTCTGCCTCTGTATTTGCTTACTGAGCCACAAAGGGACAGTTTAATCTGATCTGTAATCACCAGCAACAACACACAACAGGAATAAATCTATCGTAAAATACTGCAGATGCTGGAAATCTGAAAAATTGGAAATCAGAAATTCTAAGGAATAAATCTAAATTTGAATGTAAGATTTACAGTGTAACTGGGTGGAGAATATTGCCAAGAGAAAATAACATAATAGGAATTGAATATGGGTTGGAGACATTGTTTAATGTGCAGAAATCGGATTAAAATAACCTTTCCAGAAGTGCTCTTAAATACATGTTTACATGTTTAAACTGTAGAATTAATGATGTTGTTAAGCTAGACACTTAAATTGTATATGCAGTACATATGTATATATATATTATATATTTCATTTTGTGCAATTAATGATTGATCATTTATTGAATATCATAAAGTGTGTAGATGCATACACACATATAAGGAGAACCATAAAGCACTGAAGATGAAAGTTTTACCCATTAATTGATTTTGCAACAAAGGTCAGTTGCACTCTTGTTAAACATTCAGCGCTGTCATATATTGAAGAGCATCCATCTCCCAAACATTATAGCATCAATGTCATTGGAGAATTATGATGATGAAGATATTGCTGATTTGGATAGAATCATAAATTTGGTACATAGCTTTCACCTTCACCAAGGCTACTGTGATGCGCAAGTCTGAGGGTCTGATATATGCCCTTATGAGAGCTGTATAACTGGTACAAATAGCACATGTGCCTCTAGCAACAATAATAATCCTTGCATTTGAATCAGCGCCTTTCACAGCAGGAGGGCGGCTCAAAGTGCTTTGCACGGTTTACTGTAAAGTGTGGTGACTATGCATTTGTAGGTAAACATGTCCAAGGTAGATGTACTGGCTCTAGCAGTGCAGGAATATAATCATGGCCTGAGAAGTAAGTGTGGCGATAAAAGGGCAGCGGTGCCGTCAATCAACGTCTTTGCTTTCTTTTCCCAATTAAACAAGGGGTGGCCCAATGCCCAGCAGTGCTATGTGGACATAGGGTGTTGACTGCATTGCGACTGTGTGTTTCGCAGCTACAAGATTCTGCTGTGGGAACTAAATGTCAGTTGTGTCTTGTGATGTGGAGGTGTCATGACACGTGCTTGTCCTCAATTCCTGATGCTATGAGGGAAATTAAAATGACAAAGTTACTTTCTTGGAGCTAATTCACAGTTTAGTCTGTTTTTGCTCCCAGCTTCTCCCCCATCTCGCCCCACCCAACCCTCTTCTCCGATATCTGCCCTGGGCTATGGTTTCATATGTTCCAATGACTTTCTGGCACCCAAACTAAATGGCTGTTCTTCACGTGTGCCTTTCATGTAGGATGAACATTTTGAAGCAAACATCAAAGAAACATGATGGGAAACACGGAGCAGGGAGAAAGAACAGAGAATTCAGATTGTTAACCAAAGACACAGTCAAAGTGGTATATTTTAAGAGGGTTTTGAAGGCAGAGAGAGAGAGAGAGGAAAGGAGATTTTGTAAGAGAGTTCCAAAGGCCAAGGGGCAGAGTAACTGAAAGCTCAGTCATCAATCGTGGGATGGAAGGAATGAGGAATCAGCATTGAGCAGGCTTTTTGACCTCAGGAGGGAGGAGGATAGCATGCCTGTCTCTCTCTCCTTCCTCCACATTCACTTGCGCGATGAAGCAGCAAGCTTGATTGGATAGTAATCTGGTGTTTAAACGCGGGACAATTATCCCCCCTTCAAAGCTCGAGGACAATTG